AGAGAGAGGGAACAATAGCAGGCAGGTTGCGAAGGTGGGTCATGCGACTTCCTTCCAATTGTCTGAGAACAGGCGGCATAAATGAGGGGGACCGACGAGACGTAGAGAAGGGAAACGGTTGTGGAAAAAGGAGAAGGAATGACCGATGTCCTGATAAAGCAGATATCGACGGTCCTTTTTCCCTTCACCACCGGTGATCTTTGTGGTCGTCTTCGTTTGACGATGTGAATAAGTTCGGTCTGCCCTGATCTTAACAGATCAAGCTGCGACATAACCCTGAGTACATCCTGTTTCCGAGTTACCGAAAGTGTGAGGCGGAGGTTTTGGTGCATGACGAGTTGAGTAATGACTTTCGAATTTGCAATAAGTTGTTGCTCTTCGGCTGGCGGGCGTTCATTGTTTGCCTTCCTTGAATTCTAGAAGTCGGAATCTTTTCTCCTCATTGATCAAGATCGCCTTGTTGGGTTTCTTGCTTGCGACCAACTCCGCTCTCGCAGGCCCTATACCTGTGACAACCATGTGATTTCTTGTCTATCTTTTGGGTTTGCATGAAACTAGTCATAATCGCAGGTCGGTACATCCTAAGAAACAAAGCGCTATTGTTGAGGGGGAAGGATGGGCAAGATTTTATCCAAGGGAAACTCTGCGTATTATTGGTTAGCGGATGTTTAAGAAAGAGACGTAGGCAGACAAGAGGAGTAAAATAAGGAACGAGCCGCAAGAAGAACATGAAACAAGAGAGAGGGAGAGGAGCAAAGGCAATCAACTGGGTATTGGAGAGGAGCTTCTGTCACTGCAAACTGTTGCAATTGACAGGGAGGCAGTGAGCAAGGCTTTCAGTGGGAGCGTTATCGTTTGTGAGAGGTTTTCAGCATGAACATGCCCGTTGAAGCCTGAAAGGTGTTGGGCAGGGGTGAGCAAGGGTGAGACGTGCGTGCAGGCAAGCAAGTTTGGGAAGAGTCAGGTTGATAGACTGAGAACTTTTTCCTAATTCTATAGGTGGCGATACTACTCCATGTTGTTGGCGTCGAGGCCAAGTATCTGGGCTATTAAGGCTAGCCGTACGATAGGATATCGTTCTAATTATTGTGGGTCATCAGCCTACCCGTATGGATTGTGTCAGAGGCGTTCGAACTGCAGCCGCTGGTTAACTTGGACCGGCGTAGTTATACCTGTCATCGCCAGGCTGCCTGTGAAGAGGCCTACTGGTGCGGTCACAGTAGGTGGTTGCTGCCTTCATAGCAGACTGTTGACCTTCTTGCGACGACAGGTGGCTGTCATCTGATGCTGAAGTGCAGCTATCATACCAGATTGGTACTCTAGTGACTACTACTGCTTTAGATTGGATCCACAGCTGGTTTGGAGCCGCAACTACCACATATCTAAATTATCAAGATTGACACTGTTGTTGCGCTACTATTTTTAGCCACTATAGTGTACAATCTGTTGTCCTCAGCTATTATCACCACGACCTTGAGATTGCAGTAATTGTCATTGCCACTGAGGTGATGCGGCAAACCTTTAGCCGCAGCAGTCTGATGTAGACTCAGGATCTTTTTTTTTTTTTTTTTTTTTTTTTGCTTACTATCGCAACTTGAATCCGAAGGTACCAGTATCGTATGACAGTATAAGATGGGGCAGTTTGTTATTCTGTTACGATGATCAGGGCATAAGATTACTTGGTTCCTACTGTCGATTGAAGTTCAATGAGTATACTGTTGCTGGTTCATCATTAAGAGGGCAATTGTTTACCGATCTGCAGTATAATTGCTATCAAAGCAAAAGTTGGTTCCGCTGATTTAAGATAACCATAACTGCCTCTGATACGAGCTAACGATACTGCGTTTGGCCCCGACGTTTGTTACTAAACAACCCGGCCAGAGACTGCTGCTGCTACTATACTCTTCGGAATATCCTAGTGCTACAGCTTGCTGTAGAACATTACCATTTTCATCAGCAGTTGCTGCTGCTGTTATCTTCAATTCAAGCATGGCGTGTTGCTCATCTGACCGATGAGAGTAGCATGAGAACAGCCGCACGCTGAAGACTTACTTGCTGAAGGACGGTACTGCTATTGACAGGGGTGCACAACAACTGATTTTTGTTCATGACTGCAATTGGTTGTTGGTATGTACAACGGAGGCTACTGTACGTTTGGGTTGTTGTACTTCTGAGCTGCTATTCCAGACGGGAACAACAAGTGGTCTGTTGCTGTGTATTACTGCGTCTATGCACGCATTCGAATAGTACACAGGGGTTGTGCTCTGTACAAACGCAACCTTGCTAGGCCACGCGGCTGCAATTCGATCAGGGGTGTGACATTGAGGCTTCAAAGGGGTGATCATGCTCTGGATTGGGAGTACGGCGGCAACTTGGAGGCGAGACAGGAGGCTGTTACTCTACACTTTCGGCCGCCATTGCGGGACCCTCAGGATCTGAAGGCACCAAGTCATTCTCATGTGAGTTGAGTTGGCCCCTTCTCGTATCTCGAGCGTCTGACTTCTCTTCTTCTTTACTTCTTCCTCTCAGGCTAGTCTGTGTTCGGAGAGGAAGGTGGCAGGCGGGATTGCAACCCGTAGGACCGTATCAAGGCCTTTGTGGAGGTCGACCCACCGATTGCGGGAGCTTTGCCGGAGCCCAGGAAAGACTCTAGAGGCAGGGAACTCAGAGGTAGGCCGACACTATACCATTAGAATCCCAATAAACCCCTATCTATACAAACTTGACGTTTGGTCTGTTTGACTTTGACTTGTGTATATGTTTTGTTTTCTTTTTCATAACTTTAACTAAATCGAAAAGGGAATCTCCTATGCATGTTAATTTATCTGTCTGTGGTAAAAATCACGATGTTTGCGCGCGATGATCTGAACTGGGCGGGGTCAGCACCTGCCGCTTTGCTGATTGCTTGGACATTGAGACGAGGCGGGGTCAGGACCTGCCGCTTTGCTGATTGCTTGGACATTGAGACGGGGCGGGGTCAGGACCTGCCGCTTTGCTAATTGCTTGGACATTGAGACGGGGCGGGGTCAGGACCTGCCGCTTTGCTGATTGCTTGGACATTGAGACGGGGCGGGGTCAGGACCTGCTGCTTTGCTGATTGCTTGGACATTGAGACGGGGCGGGGTCAGAACCTGTTGCTTTGCTGATTGCTTGGACATTGAGACGGGGCGAGGTCAAGACCTGCCGCTTTGTTGATTGCTTGGACATTGAGACGGGGTGGGGTCAGGAACTGCCGCTTTGCCGATTGCTTGGACATTGAGACGGGGTCAGGACCTGCTGCTTTGTTGATTGTTTGGGCATTGAGACGGGGCGGGGTCAGGACCTGCCGTTTTGCCGATTGCTTGGACATTGAGACGGGGCGGGGTCAGGACCTGCCGCTTTGCTGATTGCTTGGACATTGAGACGGGGCGGGATCAGGATCTGCCGCTTTGCTAATTGCTTGGACATTGAGATGGGGCGGGGTCAGAACCTGCCGCTTTGTTGCTTGCTTGGACATTGAGACGAGGCGGGATCAGGACATGCCGCTTTGCTGATTGCTTGGACATTGAGACGGGGCGGGGTCAGGACCTGCCGCTTTGCTGATTCTTTGGCCATTGATACGGGGCGGGGTGAGGACCTCCCGCTTTGATGATTGCTTGGACATTGATACCGGGCGGGGTCAGGACCTGCCGCTTTGCTGATTGCTTGGACATTGAGATAAGGCGGGGTAAGGACCTGCCGCTTTGTTATTTGCCTAAGACATTAAAATGGGGCGGGAGATGAGGTCCTTCGGACTGATCCGGTCGTTTTGTTGTTTGCCTAAGACATTGAAATGAGACTGGAGATGAGGTCCTTCAGACTAATCCGGTCGCCTTGCTAAGTCAGTTCATTTTTGCTTGTTGAAAAAGGCTTGATTTTTCTCCTTGTGAGAATAGTCCAGGCTATTGTGTTGGTGATTGCATAGGGTTTGACTGAGAACAACCCGAAAAGTAAAAAAAATTAACTAAATAAGATACAAGACTCGTGTTTTTGTGATCAGGACGAACGAAAGATGAAAACTTTGAATAAACAAATCATTGTTTTGAGTTGGTTGAATGTGTTATTGACTTGGCATACTTGTTGGAAATGCCTTGTCTTTTGCTCAATGCTCTGTTTCTCTTCTGCATTATAGGGTAGTCTGTTAGTGCTCGCCTTATGCTTGAGCGATAGGCAGGTAGATATTCATTTTTGTATTCGCATTTGTCTTTTTCATGTATGTTTGTTTTTATAGGACTTTGGCTAGCCTTTGAGTTAGTAGGAATTATGGGAGTCTCTTTTCCAAGGGGAAATGTTGCCGAAATTTATGTTGAATCCTCAAAGTTAGCCGAGGTTTTGAGATGTCAGTTAGGATATGATATAGTTTAGTCTTTGGGGGCAGTAGGAATTATGAAAGTCTTCCTTTCTAAAGAAAGTGCTGCCGAAATTTCTACTAAAACAAAAAAAGCTAAGTTGTTTGTCATTTCCAGCCGGATTAATTTACCGGAATATCCGGCCATTTCATCCGAAATACTGTTCATCCGAAATTTTGGGATAAACCGAAAAATGTTCGATTTTTTTTATTTTTTTTATTTTTTATTTTTTTTTTGCGCTTAAAGAGGACTGTTGCAGGTTCTAATATTGGAGGTGTTTTGTGAAAAACCCATTGAATACCCATATTACTATGATTAGTATGATATTAGTAAAATACTGTCAATTGAACTCCGTTCAGTGTTTAATAGTAAATTAATACTGTTTATGTGGGTGTGTGTCATTTTGACTCAATCAAGAGTTGCCTCCCAAGGCGATGAACAAACCAGGGAGAGGAGAGTGGGGCCGGGGAACACACACACACACACGCACATACACACACACGCATACACACATACACATGCACACACACACCCATACACTCACAATCACACACACATATAAAAACTTCAACAGACCATGATCGATCAACACACCCGAAGTACAATCGAATCACCAATGTGAACAACGCAGATCACATGATGCACACTGTGACTATATCATCTACAAAAGAGGTATGAATGCACAATTCATGCGTGTGTATCTCTCTGTCTCATTTTTAAACCTCACTCACATTCTGACATAACCCCCCACACTCCCGCACACCCCCCACATACTCCCCACTAACCCCTACAAACCCCCATAAGCCCCCCATATTCCCACATACCCCTTACCGAACCCCACCAACCCTCGAAACCCCCCCACATCTTTTCTCTCTCTCTCTCTCTTTCTCTCTCTCTCTCTCTCTCTCTCTCTCTCTCTCTCTCTCTCTCTCACACACACACACACACACACACACACACAAAAAGACACAAAATACATCAGCACCCATCAACCAGTGTCTCGTCCTCTACCGCATCATCATCATCATCCCCTCCATTGTCATCGTCGTCATCATCACATGAGGGCTGCGGTGGAGCCTCGTACTCGCTCTCAGACCCGTCACCGCTGACCTGCTCATCGGTGCCTTCATCATCCTCAACATGAACACGCGTCCTCTTCCCCACAACACCACGGGATCGAGTCCTCACTCCGTCTGCGGATATGGGTGATGGTGAACCTCCACCAATGGCACCCAATGAACCCAACAGCCTCTCCGTCGCTCCAGCGACACCCAACCTCCCTCTACCTCTGCCTGATCGACCCCCTGGGGGGCGCTCGTGCGGTCTACCTCGCCCTGGTGGTCTCTGTGCTCGTGAATGCTCTACCGCACATGTATCAGCGATCTTCCTCTTCTTCCCTCTCGTCGCGGTGTTGTCAACAATGACAGATAACACTCGGGCGGGCAGTGGAGGAAGCGCAGATAAATCAACCGATCCCCTCCGCAAAGGCTGTGAATGATCGCAAGGAAGTCGAGGCATCGATGAATCACCACTGCCATCGTGTGAACGTGCAGTTACACTGGTCGTGGATGATGATAATCGTCCAACTATAGTCGCCTCCTCTCGAGAAGATGAATGCAAGGGGATAGTCAATCCGGGTCCCCACACCACAACAGAATGCTTTAAGACGGGCAGCGGAGGAGCAGTATAGAATGACGTGGGTCGAAGTGTGGCGGAAGACATCGCAGCGGCAGGGCTCCCTCCAATCATCGTCGTCGACGCTCTCTGTGACTCTATGCTCTCAAATGTGCGAGGAGGCTCTACCAATGAGGGAGCCACGTGCTGAACTGTGGGAGGGGGCTGTACTGAAGTCTGCATCTCTCTCTCTGTCTCTGCCTCACTGCCCAGCTGGTCCATAACATCTCGCCCCGCTGTAGACTGTGGATGTGGGGCAGTCGTGTCTGTACCTGTCTCCATGTTGCACGGCTGATCGGGCTCACATCCTCTCACGCCCTCCCCGATAACAGGGGCCACCTCCGAGATGGAGGGTGCAGGGGAGGCATGCTCGGTGTGACCTGTCCCCATCTCCTCCTGACTGAGACACGGCTGTCCATGGCTCATGGCAGTTGCCTCCTGCTTCTCCATATCGGGAGTTGCCTCCATGGCAGCTGCCTCCTGCTCCTCCACATCGGGACACAGGTCCTCACTGTCACGAGATGCCTTCAGCTCCCCAACATCGAGATGTTGCTCCTCTGCTACACTCCTTAGGATAGGTCCCTCTGAAGGCCGCCCGCCTGCCCCATCATCAAGAGGCATACCAAACAACAGAGTGCTAAGGGGGGTCACTGACATCTGAGGCGTGTGTGTCGCCCCTACATCAGTGGTAGCGGCACTGCAGCCCGCCTCGCCGTCAAAGGCAGTCGAATGAAAGCCTGTGTCCACATGATGACCCTCATCAACCCGTTCGCTCCCCCCTTTCGGCCTGCGACACTCCTCGATGTCCTTCATGATATGAAGGGTGTGTCTGGAGCCATGCAGGAACCCGTCGAGGTCCTCCACAGCATCAAGGCTCCCCCACCTATCCCACACACGAGACACGAGTGGGTCATCGTGCATCTTCTCCTTCCCCTTTCCCGTGGCTGTAATCTCCTCAATCATGTCATTCCCCTCCCACATGTCATCTACCTCATAAATGGCATCCTCAGCCTCCACATCGTCATCATCTCGCGCCTGCAACAGGCGCGCACTGACACGATCACCCCCCTCCTTGCACCGTCTGCGCAAGTCTGCCTCCACCTCCTCAGGGATCGTCATGCCCTCGGCGTACACCTCCTCTGAAGGATCGCCAACCACTGGCTCCGACGGCTCCTCCACCAAATCCTCCCAAACATCCACATACCCCTTCCGGGAAGTCAACCTCGCTCGCAGAAACTGCATGTTCCAATGAATGAACATGAGCTTTCGCAGACTATCACTCGAGAGTCCGTTGCGCCTCTTCGTGTGAATAAGGTCATGTGTGGCCCAATTCCTCTCAGATGGAGAGGCAATGGACCACATAGAGAGCACCTTGATGGCGACTTCCTGCAGCCACGGGAAGTCGGCACCATGCAAATACCACCACCATGCGGGGTGCACCCCGTGCTTCGCCTGCGCGATAGCAACGGGGTCTGTCCACCATTTGGGCCTAGGGTCTGCGTGGGGATCATCATGGTGGAACAAGTACAAGCCGTACCACATCGTAGTATGCTCTTGGGACCCCTCTCCACCATCCGCGTACGTAGCCAAATGGTGCAGTGCACTTTGCACCAATGCGCAATCAGTGTCAGCGAGGAGACTCACATCATGTCGTCGCGGGTCAACAAGGTATGCGAGCGCATGCGCCGGCTGGCGCATCATGCCGCAACGTTAGTCAACCCTCTCCATAATCTCTGCCTCGTCTGCCTCTGGTAGGCCCATGTTGCGCACACGCGCTGCGATACTGTCAGCAAACGCCCAAAGGGTGGTGGGGGAGGAACCGTCTCTGTCCATGCAACGCAACAGGCTATAAGCTGGCCTCATGACCTCCTGCACACGGTGCGCACAATCCCAAAATGACGCCGACAACACAAGTTGTCGAACAGGGCGCTCATCCTGCCCCCCCTTCCCCCTCCAGAGGGTGCTCCGCCATCGCACACTACCTACGACCATCCGCAATACCTTCTCCTGATCGGTAAGTCGCTCCACCATCTGATATGCTGACCCGAACTGTGTGTCACATGGTCGGATCAGCTCCAGCTGCCCCTGCTCCTTGAAGGACCGATGATACGAGATGGCCTTGTGAATGTTCTTGAAGAACATCACAACCTTGGAGGAGGAGGCGAGGAGGACGAGGAGGAGGAGGTGAGGAGGAGGAGGAGGAGGAGGAGGAGGAGGAAGGAGGATCGTCGAGGAGGAGGAGGAGGAGCAGAGAAGGACGAAGGAGGAGGATCGCTGAGGAGGATCAATCAATCAATCAATCAATCAATCAATCAAAAAAAAAACAAAAAAAAACTGTTATCTAATCGAATCCTAAGTGTTTCTTTTTTTTTTTTCGATTGATTGATTGATTGATTGATTGATTGATCCGATGGTGTTTTTAAAAGTTTTTTTTTTCCTCGGTGGATTAACGAAAAAAAAAAACAAAAAATTTGATCCGCGCGGTATGGGGCCGAACGAGAGATAGGTTGGACTTTGAGGAGGACGAAAGGGCCGACGAGGAGGAGGAGAGGAGGAGGAGGAGGAGGAGGAGGA